ACATTTCTGAGTTACATGTGTAACCTTCTTCAGTAGCAGTGGTATAGGAGATGGTGATTTTGTAAAATACCCCTTCCAGTTCCTGTTTGATGCAGAAAACTGAACTTGTGGGAAGCTGAAGGATTCCACATGACCTAAGAAGTTGGCTCTTGGTGAAGCAAGGGGCCTGAAAAAGGGATTGAGTTTGTCAGAAACTGGCTGCTTAGGCTAACTCCAACACTCATAGTTGCTACGGTGCCATGTTGATGGTAACTAATTATAGCTGGGGCACAAAGCTTTAGTGTCAGTTTGCAAACAGAATAGTTAATTGCCACATTGGACCTTTGAAATGGCAGATAAACAAATTTATTCTGTAAGATAAAAAGGCCATTAATGTGTTCCTGCTGTGATCGGCTGCCTTATTGCCTTTCTCATTTCCTCAGGCTCTGTAATTAAACCATTAGCTTGCGTACCATGCGGTGAGTCTGCTGTGGTGAGAGGAGATAGATGATGACCTAGTTCATGATTCACTAATCTTGGCCTTGCATGGTTTAAAAAACAAACAAGAATAACTGAAAAGCTTTTTGCGTTTTTGTGCACATTGGAGACTTTGGAAACAGTCCTCTTTCAGGATTCTCTTTCCTTGTTCAGCTGAAAGCACAGCTTGCTGCATAACTTGGTACATAGAATCACAATTGCCACTCAGTCTAATTTCTGTATTATCATTCCTTTTTTTTTTTTTCCCCCAATATGGCACATGGACTTTTAGGATAAAGCTTACCTGTGCTATAAGAAGTCTTTTAATTTCTTCAGAAATATCCCTTAACTTCCTTTAAAAGTAGCTGGATTTCATGGATTTGCTTATCCCTCCAAAGAAGATGCTTGGTGCAGTAGACGCCTTCAAGTTAGGTCCCTTACTTCAGTTTGAATTCCTGGCTTCTCAGCTGCCTCCCTGTCTTCTTTCAGGTGTCTTGTCTCACGTTGTTGCATACCTGCTCAATTGGTTCAAACTCAGACTGTATCAGTCATGACTGATGCTAATACCTACCCATTTGGTGCTTGGTGTTCCAAATGAAGAGGGTTTCAGGCTGATTTAAATCCATTGAGGTCATGGTTTTACATCTTCTCACTCAGTCAACTCTGCTGGATTCATTTATACACAGGCTGAGAATTCTGTTAAACCAGTGATTCTGAAAATGGAGGATGTAGACTCTGTGTAAGAAACAGGAATGGGGATAAATAGACTTCAGGCTTGGAGTAGCAGCTGGGTGAAAAGGCTGTGACTGGATCATAGTAGCGAGGGGCAGCATGCAGAGTTCCTGGCAGCCAGGAGGTTTTCTCTGACCCATTCGTGCTGCAGTGGAAGGTTTTGGCCAGGCAGCCGCATTCCCAACCTCTGACAGAGCTGCCTTCTTGCACGTTAAACTCCCTTTCCTGATATGCTTCTCTAGACAGGCTTTGCGAAAACATGCATCCTAGAAAGTAGTTTTCAAAATAGTGAGCTGGACATGGAGTTTATTCCTCCTGTGGAGGAGCTGAGGAAAGCCTGTCTGAGAAAATAATAGTAATAATAAATGGTATAAAAAGAAAACGAGGCAGAGTGGATTCCATAAATCACAGAGCCTGACCTTCACCCTTCACAAATGTGCTGGATCAAATTTAACCTTGAAGCAAGCAGGATGAGGCTTTAACAGGAAGCTTGTAGTGCCTTTCTAGGCACTAAGCCTGTTGCATGGTTAGAGATCTGACTTTCATGGGTGGTCAGTGTGCCTTTGTTCACAGCGAGCTGCGTGGAAAAGCTGGCTATTCTTCTGATTAAACATTTGGCTTCTTTGCTTTCCTTCTTGGTTTTGACTAACACTGAAATTTGTGCTGCTTGTTCTGTTCTTTGCTTCTGACACAGTAGAATCTTAAAAGGCAGTGTAACTCTTGTTCCCTTGGAGAGACCAAGTGCAGCTTTGCCTTGGCCAACAGAAACGTCCTTTTTGCTTATAAACAACAATGTAAAAATGGAAGACAAACCCCTGATGAATACTTGCTGTTTCACTGTTGATTCTAAGAGGAGACAAATCAATCATACCATGAGGTAAATAAGTAAGCTCAAAGCTCTCTTTTGTGATTGCATTTGCATCTTAAAGTAAAACTGCAGTGATGCGATGTTTGGAGTAACCAATGCATGTTTTCAGATTATAGTTAAACTGTGTTTCTTGGTCAGCAAAGTTGTAACTAGGTTTCTGGTTGACTTGATTGCCTTTGCAGTTTGCCAGGTTGTGAGTTTCTCATTTCCAGGGCAATGTTGCAAATGCAAGGTACCAATACAGGTAGTTGCTCCTCTCTTTC